CATCCACGAGTGTTGGGCCACGAACAACATTAACTAATTAAGTTGCTTCGAGTGGCCCTAAGTTGTTTTCGGGTCGAGCCATCACTATGGTGTCGTTATAATTTACCCAACATTGGTTTTACATCATAACCCGGATTTATTGGGTATCAAAAAACCCAACATCAAACTTGCCTACAAGTTGTTTGTTCTCGCTATAAGAAAAAAGGTTTGTTCCTATAGCTTTCCTGTGTGCAATACCCATTTCGTATGAGTGTTGAATTAGTCATGCTTGACCAAGCAAGATAATTGCTAAAACTTCTCTTGTATGATCAAATACTGCAGAAGGCACAAGTTTCAGCAATGTTCAAAAATTTCGTTTCTTTGGGTACTTCATGGAAAGCACTTTAATTCCTGCCAGTTTACAAGTCTTGCGAGGTCTCAATGCAAGCTTTCATATCTCTTTCCATTTTCCAGACACATCATTAAAGATCAATATCATATTAAAAACATTACACCTCAAACTATACACGAAGACACGCTCTCTATTCCAATGGTTACAAGGTGTTAGTGGGTCCTCTCAGCCAACCTACAATGATACACATCCACGGTACATAAATCGAAAAGAAACACATTTTTGCTACATAAGATGATCCTACATCTCATTCAATTCAAACAAAGTTGGAGGCCAATGGGCCATCATATGCATCACAATGCACAGCTTGCTACATGAAATTTAAAACAAGCTACCAATAATCAACTTCTCAATGCTATGCTAATATTTGACAAGCAAAAAAGAGATTGAAAAAAAAAAAACTCACGCATGCGCGCGCGCACACGCACCAAGCTAACAACAAAAATCTAACTCCCAAGATTACATACATCAGTAAAGAGACATAATTGAATGTCCTATGGTATACTGCTCAACCAACGTCAAAGATCCTCTGTTGCGACTCAAGTATCATCTCAGTCCTCTTCAACTCCATCTGCATTCGCATCTGGTCCACCTCCCGTGCCATATCCATCTTCATCTTTTCCATTCTCACAAACCCCTCTCCCAATGTTTCTACTGCATCCACCACCTTGTCCATGCCATTATCCCCCTTCTTTTTCTTGGAAATTTCACCTATTCTTTGCCTCCATATCATCCCTCCCCATAAACCCATCTCTCGAATCTTTACGAGAAACCCCGTAGACACTAGACATGTTAAAGATACATACCAAGTAGAACCTAGCAGAGGTATTGATTAAGCAAATCAGCATAACAAGTTCATATGGTGTAGGTCGACCATCAAACTTCTTTTGCTTCCTATTTGGAGGGTTCTTTTCCCAATATGCAAGAGAATCTCCAATACTTTCTATTAATAAATAGAGAAATGCTAGGGATGCATCCTCAATCTATGTGACGTTAATGTGTCATTCACATTAATCTAGACTTGATAGATCTTGACATAATGAATCTTGATAGAGTAATGTTATTCATCCCCACTGGAGATGAAAACACAGTCTACAGGGCGTCAATGTGGCATTAAATGATAGGTGGAATTAAATGACTTCACCTATCATTTAACCAATCATTTACATTTACATAGACTGGGGATGAATATTATTTTTCTAATAAATAACATCTTATTTATAAGAACAATGTTATTTACTCACTCCATTCCAATTATATAGGCTGGATTTTCTTTTTCTCTTATTCCAAATATATAGACTTGTTTCCTAATGTAAAATATTTTATTGTATTCTTTTACTAATATACCCTTATTAAATTTTCCCCACTTAATATGCAAACATCTTGAAAATTCAAATTCTTTATGAATTCCAACAATAATTTAGTTTTACCAACTGAAAATTAAATANTATACCCTTATTAAATTTTCCCCACTTAATATGCAAACTTCTTGAAAATTCAAATTCTTTATTAATTCCAACAATAATTTAGTTTTACAAACTGAAAATTAAATAGGGGTAAATTAGGAAAGATCTTGACAAAAATTAATTTTTCAATGACATTAAATAAACTTTCTTAATCCGTGTGAAAAACTAAACAAGCCTATATAATTAGGACGGAGGGAGTAGTACCATTAGTGCTTAACACCAATTTAGGTGGCATCACTTGTGTCTTTAAACTATATGTTCAATTAAATACAAAAATTTATAACTCATTTATTATGACATATCATGTATTTACACCACCATCGGTGCTAAATAGCATTATTCTATTTATAATAGATAGCATAGTTAAATTTAGAGAGTATTTTTACACACTCCAACTATCCTCTCTATTTTGGCTCTTCAATTTATTTTTTTAAGAAACATTTTTTTTATTTTTCTCATCTTTTATTTCACGTTTTTTATATGTTAATGAAAATCAATTCTAAATAATTTAAGTAGTAGAGTATTGAAATATATAACTAATTAAATGCAATCATTATAAAGTAAGAATAGAAAGTTGGAGAGCAAAATTCACCATCTATTTTAAAAAAGTTAAAATACAGAGTTTATTGAAGCTTATTTTTAATTATCGATTCTTTAAAAAAGTGAGTATTTTATATTTAGAAAGTTTCTTGTAAATGCTTAAACGGTCAAAAGTAATGAGAGATTGTTTATGGTATTACAAGAACATAAGAAAACATATATTTGACTTCAAGTAACCTTGATGGATTGCTTAATTGGTCAGACCTTGAGTTTGCTCCACAATGGTCACCAGTTAGAGTCTCCTCAGGGCCATTGAGTTGAGTACCCCACCGTAAACTTCAGGGTCCCGTGGGATTAGTCGAGATGTGTGCAAACTGGCCCGAACATCCACGATTATAAAAAAAAATAAAAAAATATTTGAATTTAAGTATTCAACATTGATTACATTAATAAAATAAGTTCTTTCTTTTCTGCTTTGATTGCGTATTTTACTAGGAAAAGGACTTTGAATTTAAAAGTTGACTTAAAAAATATTGGAATGGACCGAGAAAGTTGACACATTGGTGGAGCAGTTGGAATAATTTAAAGAAATTTGGAATCTAGAGTGCCAACTGTAGAACTAAAGAACGAGTCAACGAGACTTCCTACTTGGTTTGAATCAGATATGAATATAAACGAGTTAGGTATGAACCATTGCGTACCCAAATTTTATTCATTTTATTTATTTCGGTGGTGGTTATAAAGTAAAAATATATGGGTTTTTGCTTGTCATCCCTGCGTTCTATATTGTTCTAATTTTATCAGATGTACACACAAGGAAATGAAAAGATAAAGATTATAACAATCTTTATTTATTCCGTGATATATATATATATATATATATATATATATATATATATACAAACGGCTGTAAAGATGGTAAAATGACTCGACGGCTCGGACTTTTTCCGGGTCGAGCCAAACCGGCTTGTGGCTAGGTGGGGCCCGAGCTGAGAACCATTTTTGGGCGTCGGCTTGAGCCTAAATTTTTTGGCCGAGCTCGGGTCAAAAAAAGTTCGAAGTATTTTTACTCGAGTCGAGCCCGAGCAAAAAGTTTCGGCTCCCGGCTCGACTCATTGACACCCCTACAGGTGCCGGTGTTTTTAAAAAATTTCAATGTTAGAAAACAAATAACCAAATAAAAAGTTGAGATGTCTTGATTCTTGAATGTTGTGAGCTATATCTCTAGTTGGACTAAAGATTTTTTTGAAGTAGTAAAGTTAAAGTGATATGAATATTTAATGTAAATAGTTTTGTAGAAAAAATATTCATCACGTAACATAGACCTGATGATATTTTACTCTTTCTTTTTCTTCTCTATTGGCACATGCAAACAACGTTTAGGGATGGCAACGGGACGGGACGGGGTAAGTTATTTCCACGCCGTTTAATTTTTTTTTTTTTTTTTAGTTTTTGATAATTTATTTTTATTGTCCATATTCATTAGATGTAGTCAAATAATTTTAGTTGCCATTTTCTATTAGAACTAAAGAAATTTNACCCGTCCCCGCCTCGGGGAATAATTCCCAGCCCCATCCCCGCCCCGTTACCCGTTTAAGCGGGTTTTCCTCTCCCCGTTCGGGGCGGGTCCTCGCGGATATCGGGTTTGTCGGGTTTTTTTGCCATCCCTAACAACGTTTTCCAATCCCCAGGATGCTCCTGTCCATATGACTCTTCCTAGGATTTTTCTTTGCAATATATTATGGCTGGTAGGTGGAATTGCATTAACTCAAATATTTTTATGACTTTTGATTATAGGAAAGTTCCCAAGATATTTAGTCTTAGATTAGGTAGAATGCTATCTTGTTCTATCTTATCTGTTTGCAGTCAGAATCATATTTTTCCAAAATCAATGACCTTTTCTTAGAAATTATATAAAGCCATCCATTAGTTCTATCCTAGAAAAAATAATTCATTGACGATTTCCTTACTGCAGGAAGGTCTTTATTGTACAGGCACAAGTGCATAATACCCAAAAAATGGATAGCAAGAATATGTTGGATGCTGCTCGCACAGGAAATCTTGAGGTTCTTAAATTTGTTCTTGAAGAAAATCCGTCAATTCTTGCTGATTTAAGACTAATATCGCCCACAGAATCTCTTCTACACGTTGCAACCAAAGCTGGGCAGCTTAATTTTGTGCATGAACTTATGAAACTTGATCCTGAAATTGCTGAAGAATTGAACAAGGATGGCTTCAGGCCTCTGGATATTGCTGTAATCATGGGAAACTTGTTGATACTAAAGGAACTTCTGAAGGCAAATAGCAAATTATGTCGGCTCAAAGGCAAAGACCAAAGAACAGCTCTTCATTATGCTGCTATCAAGGGTAGAGTTGATATTATTGATGAATTGTTGTCTACGTGTCCAGATTCTATTCAAGATATCACAGGTCATGGGGAGACTTTCCTTCACCTTTCTGTGAAAAATTACCAGTGTGATGCGTTTAGTATGTCGATCAAGTGGCTGGAGAGACTTGGCATGGAATCAGTTGTAAATTTGGGGGATTGGGATGGGAACACTGTAATGCACATTGCAGTTTTTACAAAACAACACGCGGTGTGTTCATCTCTATAAAGAATATATTCCCCTTTTTAACTGTTCTTAATCATTACATTTACATTACATCATAAAAATGTTTTTTCCATGTTGCAGGCCATAGAACTACTCCTTAACAGTAACAGGGTCAGAGAAACAATAAAGGTCAATTCGACAAATGCCAAACATTTGACAGCACTAGATATATTGGACATTGTTATTGAAAATTCTTATGATGTCCGGATCAGAGAAATTCTACAAGCAGCAGGAGCAGTTAGAGCACAAGATGCTCTTACTATCAGAACAGAAAATTCACCAAAAACCAAACCAATCAAGCAGCTGGAAGATCCTCTGCCTTCGATGGATTGGTTCAAATATTTCAAATTTCAGATGCAAAGAGATTCACCTAGTGACACCCGAAATGCACTATTAGTTGTGGCTGCACTGATTGCCACAGTGTCCTTTCAAGCAGGCGTGAATCCTCCGGCAGGGATTCTGGATAACACTTCGGATAAACAACCTTCCATTGGCTCTGGATATCCACCACCAGGCCCACCCCCTTACTTTATCCCAGCAGGGACGACTTTACTCGCTGGTGCTGCAGGAATTTTAGGGTCTCAGGCTACTGCACAATTGTTCTTGTTCGCCAACTCTTTAGGTCTCACTGCATCAGTATGCATCATAATATATCTCACAGGAGGGTTTCCATTTCAAAGGGAACTTCACATATCCTTATATTCTATGATGTTCACTTATGGTTTCGCAATCAGTGCTATACTCGAAGGAGCCAAAGCGGAAAACAAAGTGGTTGCATACATCGTGTTAACAATTGCCTTCATTTTGCCATTCGCACAGCGATGGCTGCCAAGGTGGGGAAGAAAAGCTTGGAAGCATTGGAAACAAAAGAGCATGCACAGTTAAAAGGCCTGCTTGTTGAGAAATAAACTTGATTTAAACAAATTACTTGTTTGTCTCGTGTTTGTTAATTTTATTATTAAGTGAGCCTATGAATACAATAGTCTATATTCTAAAATTGTATTGCATTACTGAAATAGTTAGTGCATATTAGCAAGTAAATGGGACATTCATTTATGTTGGAAAAATTGGTTTTAATTAGTTGGTTTGACCAACTTTTGACCAATTATTTTAGTAGGTCCCGTTAGTTGGATCAAAGATTTATTTGATCGAGTGTGTTCTACTCCATGAGTAGATTAATTTAATATATTTATTTTCTCAAAACCAATTTAGGATGAATGAGAAATTAAGGTCAAAAGATGACCAATTGAAGTGGAAATAAATTGAGAATAAAAATTGTTGGGAAATTAGAAAAATGACAATCTCACATAAGAAAATTAGAAGAATAGAAATCACTTTATATTACTCAAGTTTGGGATTTGGGTTTGGGCTTGGGCCAAGTTGGTATATATTTTTTAGTAAACTAATATTTGAATTATATCATTTTATTATTATTTAAAATAATAATATATTTATGTTGACAGTTAAACTGTTTGTCTAAACGGGTCGTGTCTGTTAAAGACACAACTTTTCGACTCTTGCCTCAATCGTTATCATTTTATATCGTTCATATTTGCAAGTCGTTGTTCTACCCAAATTATTGTATGGTAATATCATTATTTGTCAACAATTTTAAGACGATAATGAAAAGTAATACTACATCTGTCGTACCCCTTAATAATGCTCATGGGGAAAAATCGAAAAAAAATTCATGTGAGTTGATTTTAAGAGATGACAAAAGAAAATGTTATTTTATCTCACAATTCTGAATTTAGCAAAATTCTTGAGTGAAGATGCTTCAATCGTTGAAGAGGAGGAAACACATTCTAAAAAACGAGCAACATTTGTTGCATAGAGTTATAGTGATTTCTTGTGCATGAACTATATTCTCAATTGCCTTGACAACACACTATACAGCGTATACAGTTCGGTCAAGACATCTAAATTACTGTAGGAGTCATTGGAAAAGAAGTACAAAGCAGAAGATGTGACATTCAAGAAATTCGTTGTGGTTCCTGGACTTCAAAATGGTAGATTCTAAAACAATAATGAATCAAGTCCAAGAGTTACAAATCATCTTGCATCATATACATGCAGAATGATGTTAATTGGATATCAGATATAAAAAACTCAAAATCCACCAGTGGGTATGTATTTACCATTGGTGGTGCGGCTGTATCTTGAAAATCCTCTGAACAAACATGTATAACTCGATCAACGATGAAATCTGAGTTTATGGATTTAGATAAAGTTGGAGAGGAAGCAGAATGACTTCATAATTTTTTAGAGGATATTCCATATTGGCCTAAATATGTGCATGCAATTAGTATGTATTGTGATAGTCGACTAAGTCGGCTATCGATAGAGCACAAAATAGTATGTATAATGGTAAGTCTCAACATATTCGTCAAAGACATAATACAATTAAGCAGTTGATCTCAAATGATATTATTTTCATGGATTATGTAAAGTATAGAGAAAATCCTATGGATCCGCTTACCAAAGAGATCAAGTAAACTGCCTATTAAGGGAAATGAGTTTAAAGCTTACTACGTACGAATCTTTGTAATGGTAACCCAACCTTACTAACTGGAGATCCCAAAATCTTGGTTCAATGTGACAACTAAGTTATCAAGATTCAAAGAAGCAATTCGGAGTTAACTCCTACCTATTCCTACGATATAAAAATGCTATCTGCAGAAAGTTTTAGGGTAAGTTATACTTTTAATGATTCATATATCTTGGACTATCTAAGTGGGGTATGACAGGTACTCTTAATAGAAGATCACTTATACAAGTGTGAAGTGTGGCCGCTTCTATGAGAATGTTTCAAAGGCTTGATTATCTAAAGCACTTATGAAATTCAAGAGTTGTTCATAACCAAAATGAACACAACGGTGAGAACTCGAAAATATTAGGGAGGTTATTGTGTTGATTCTATTGTCTTGGTTTACACCAACGGTTGATAGTTCAAGACACCGCGTTCACTGATTAGCCAAGTAAATCCGATAGCATTCTACTACAGAAGATTCAAACTCATAAGGTACCTGTCCAGATGCGATTGCATTCTGTCTGATCTCTCTATAAGGTCTACATAGCCTATTGCATTAATTTCCATTCATGTGGGGAATTGTTGAAAAAATTAGTTTTAATTAGTTGGTTTGACCAACTTTTGACCAATTATTTTAGTGGATCCCGTTAGTTGGACAAAAGATTTCTTTGGTCGAATGTGTTCTACTTCATGAGTAGATTAATGTAATGTATTTATTTTCTCAAAACCAATAAATGGTGAATGAGAATTAAGGCCAAAGATGACCACTTGAAATTGAAAAAATTGGGTATAAAAATTGGTGAAAATTTGGAAAAATGGCAATTCTACATAGGAAAACTAGAAGAAGATAAACCACTTTATATTGCTCAAATTTTGGACTTGGGTTTGAGCCCCAAAGGGTACCCATAGTTTTTGAAGGGAAGAGAACCTACATGCTAGTAGGTTGAGCCAAAATCCATGCGCGCGCGTTGCCGTCGTTCGTCTGTCCGACCGACGACTCGGCTCGACATGTCACAGGTTAGGGTCAAAGGTCGTTGTCTTAGACTTGAGCCAAATTGATATATATATATATATACACACACACACACATACACACACACGCAGGCAGAAAGGCAAAGAAATCTGGCGGCAAGAATTAATTCAGAGTTGTTAAAATAATAATATATTAATTTATATTATTTATTTTCCCCAATGTTCTGTATGCGATACGTGGCTTCTTCTAGAATCTGGCAGTTGACAGTTAAACTATCTGTCCAAACGGGGTGTGTCTGTCAAAGACACAACTTTTCAGCTGTTGTATCTTTTGGACACAATTTTTCAATTTCTATATAAAGGTCCTCATACCTTGGATTTTATTCATTCCGAAATCAATTCTAATTTTTCTCTCTTGCAAATTATATTCCTTCATCTCTGCATTATTCCATATTTTGCATTTCGGTCTCAAAATTTGTTTTTGTGCATTTTAGTTCTCCAATTTTAGAGAAATTAAAAACGTTAGTAGGTTCGTCGTCTTGTAATTTGTAGTGCTGCTATTACAAGTCGAGATCGTTATATTTTGAGAGACGAGTATCGAAATGTCGTTGCACTTGTGCAGAGTATTATCGTCTTAATGAGAAAGAGTCGAACTCTTACCTTGACTATTATCATTTTATATCGTTCATTTTTGCAAATCGTTATTCTGCCCAAATTATTGCACAATAATATCATTATTTGCCAACAATTTATTAAGGTTGTTGGGAAATTTGTGTGGAAGATTCTATTGAACATTATATAGATGCTCTCTTATGTTTTGTAGCAAGCCAACAAGTCAATTGAGTAATTATTTGAGATAAGTTAAGTTTCAAGCCTCTTCCACTCCTCAATGATTTTCTTGAAGATTTATCCAAATAAACCTTCTTCCCAACAAAGATTCTTTGAGAAAGATGACTAATGGCATTGTTCTTTTTCAAGTTCCATCACTTGACAAAGGAATTACGAATTTACGATAGATGGAGCATTAAAATTAAGGCAAATGCACTATAGGCTACAGTGACAGATCCATGATTGAAGGTCAGTTAGATCGATTGTTAACCGTTGATGACGGTCAACGACTATAATAGCGAGATTGTTTATTAATATTTAATTAAATAACATTAAAAATTATTTAATCTCTATGTAAATTAAAGGCTTAATAGCAGAAAACTCCATACATGTTAGACATTGTACGACAAATCCCCCAACCGATTGAAAATAGTAGAAAATGTCCTTGTTTGAAACATTTAGTATGGAATACAACCTTTTTGGTGCAAAAAACTCCCATACCATTCAATATGTTAGTTTAACCGTTAAAAATAGTAAAAATTGTAAATATTAAAAAGGACTAATTGAAATTGGGGTCCCAAACTTTTTATTTGTTTGCAAATTATACTCAAATTTTTTATATCGATCACCCACAATTTCACACATTTAAAACTTTATTTTCTTCCCCACCCCCACTTCATCTTCTTCCCCATCCCCAAAGCATTCATGTCCAATTTCTACTTTTCTCTATTCAAAATATTCATCAATCTACTATAATCATACGCACAAAACAGAACAAATCAAGAAAATTTGCCAAGGCAAAAAGGGTCAAAAGAACGAAAACAGTTACAAAAAGGAGACCTTGGATTTTATGTTCCATTTTGCTATAAAATTTGTATAGATCGATTGTCCAAAATAAAATCAAATTAATTCCACAAAATGTTTAATATCCAAAATCTCACTTCTCTAACAGTTAACAGAATTAAAAGGGATTGTCAATAATTACTCTTCCACAATGCCTTTGAGGACAGCGCTCTTGCCAACACCCATTCCACCGCCCATGAGGAGCACTGGACTTCATTCACTGTGAGCAATTGCATCTCAATTATCCTGGTCTATGGGCTATTGAATTTTGTTTCATTTACAATTCTTAATTGGCTGATTATTTTTTTTCTTAAAAATAAAAAGCCCAACTAAAGAAAAGGTCCAAAATCTAAAAAGAAAAATGGCCCAAGTTCACCTATCTTCTTCCTCTCTTCAATCTTCCCTGTAACTTCATTGATCTAAGCAAGGGCTGCCGCGCCCCCTCGCCGGGTGCTAGATTCGTCACTGATATGCAAATAACATCACAATTCATGAAGATGCTTAAATAGGTAAATAAATGCAAAAAGATAAAACTAGAAACCACACCAACATGTAATTCCCAAGGTGTCATTTTGAAGCTCTATAACTCTCAATGTGCTTGGAATCAAATGATTAATTATAACTCTAGTTTCCAATGCCATGAACCATGTATGAATAGGAGTATTCTAGAGAAAGTTACGATCAAAATATCGAACAATATGCAGTTAACTGA